ATCTTGGTGCAGCATTAGCCAAACCCATCACCAAAATCATTAATCTCTCAATATCACAGGGTGAATTCCCAAGGGTGTGGAAATCTGCCGTTATTTCACCAATTTACAAATCTGGTGATCCCCATTCACCCTGCAATTATAGGCCCATCAGCATTCTTCCTATTATGTCTAAAGTTGCAGAGAAATGGCGGCTGAGCAAATTATACATCACCTGAACAACAGCTCTTATCACCTGCATCCAATGCAGTTTGGATTCAGATCCAACCACTCAACAGAGACAGCTAATTGCTTCTTCATTGAAAAAATCAAATCACTGCTAGATAACCGTGGCATTGTTGGTGCTGTCTTTCTGATCTCAGAAAAGCATTTGACACTGTAAATCACAGGGTTCTTCTATCTAAGTTATCCACCTTTAATTTCTCTGCTGATGCACTTAAATGGGTAGAATCATATCTCTCCAACCGCTCTCAAAGTGTGCGAATACTTAATTATCAATCTGACGCCCTCTGCTTGTCCACGGGCGTTCCGCAGGATCTATACTGGCCCACTTTATTCTGTTGTATGTAAATGACCTGCCATCTGTGTGTCCTGAGGTTAACATTCAAATGTATGCTGACGATACAGTTTTGTATGTGCATGGTTTAACAAAAGCAGAAGTTGCTTCAAAACTAACAACCGCAATGGTCAAAATTACAGCATGGCTTAATCAGTGCTGTCTCCAACTTAACGTGTCTGAAACTGTTGGTATGTTCTTCACTAAAACAAATGACTCAAACCAGATATCCGATCCAGATATACTTGTGTCAGGAGAAAAACTACAGATTGTAAAAGAATTCAAATACCTTGCATTATACTTGACTCCAACCTGAACTTTAAAGCACATGTAAAAAAAGTCTGTAAACAAATTAAATTTAACCTTGCCAACTTCAGATTTATCAGAAACTCCATGTCTACTGAAGCAGCCAACATGTACATGCATTCAATGATTTTCTCATATATGACCTACTGTATGACAAGCTGGTCTCAGGCAAGTCACACCACATTAAAACCACTACAGTCTTTGAATAAACAGACAAAAGTTTAGACAAAAACCAAAGCAATTCCACCACTGTTCAATCCTCAGAAAATACAACCTCCTGAGCTGGAGAACATGATTAAACACAAAATGCTCCTTTATAAAATCTCACATGGTTTGGCCCCTCCCCCACTCAGAGAGTTTGTAAGCATATGAACAAACACACATCACTTCAGAGGGGTGTCTCAAGAGGCGACTGCATTATTCCTCTAAGGAAGTGTGTTTTTAGTCAGTCGGCCTTTTCTGTTCCAGCCTCACGTGAATGGAACAACATCCCAACAGTTATCAGAGAGAGCAACACATATCGTTCATTTAGTTCACATCTGAAACACCTATTTGATAACCACATCTGCCAGCACTAAACCTGTTCCGCTCGCTGCTGCCCCCTTGTGTCTGGTTGTTGATGAATGTGTCCTGTTTTTAAATGATGTGTCCTGCGTGTGTTGTCTGAGGTGAGCTTCAGGTATAGCTCACTCAATGTTTTATGTGGCCTTGTGTAATTTGTAATTTCTACGTGTTTATTGTATATTGTGTTACATGTTGTTTTGTTGTGTGCACGTTACAGTTACTTTAGTAGGTTATTGGATACTGCTTTTACTAATACTGTTTTTGTAGCTTTTAGCAATGTTTGAATTTTTTTTTTTTTTTAGGGAGCCTTTATAAAATCTGTCCAGGGACAACAGATGAAAATTAGCCTTTGGCTAACTCTGGCACATTTACAGAAATGTTTATTAATATGCAATGTCCCTGTAAATAAAAATAAATAAATATAAAACGCACAGTGTTACATTTAATTTTAAAGAATATGATGAATTCCTGTTTGAAGTTAACCATCAGAATTATTAAACATTTTAAATTATTTAACAAAACATCTACTGCAGTTAAAATGTAAAATAATTCAGCTGTAACTTTAATACAAAAATATGAGACAGAAATAAAAGAGAAACACAGTGACCGTTTAGCTGCTCTCTAAATAGTTAAACTTAAAAAAATCACTTTTGTTCATTGACTGATAAATGTTCAAACTTATTTGTTGGGATTGTGCTACAGTATTGTGAGAAGGTTTATTTATTCATCAGACTTTTATTGTTTGTGTTTTCGACATAATACTTTTATTTTGAAGGACGATCATCGAAAGTGTTGCTAGGAGATCATCGTGTTAGTGACGTCACAGCAGCGTCCTCTGAAGTGCCCGTCAGTGACGTCACGTTGAATGTTCAGATCAACAACTATGAAGCTTCTTCCTCTCGTGTGTCTCTGCGTCGTGACTCGGTCTGGAATAACGTTTGCTGATGAAAACGGTGAGAAAAGTAACGGCTCATATTTACTCTGAACTGTTTGAGATTGAAATGGATGAAAAATAAATGTAAAAATATGTTGAAACATGAAGTCTGGAGACAGAAAAGTAGGAAGTTTATCAGCGGAGGGAGATAACGTTAGCACGGAGACTGTTAGCAGTGATATTTAGCTCCGTTTGAAACTAAAGGACATTAATACAGAAATATTAAAACATCAACCTCCACAGCTCAGGTGACGTCATCACATTACAGCCGTTTAACAGACATGCGCAGTGTGATGCTCGTCTCTCTGGGAGTAGATGTTGGAGGGCGTCTCCTCCATCCTGCAGAGAGAAAACTGCAGCATCACTCACATATTATGGACCATGATCAATTACAGATAATACAACATGGATGTGAGTCCACTGTGTGAGGGAGTATCAGAGTTTAATGAAGTTTTTAATGAATTATGAAATAAGAGTCAGAATAAATCAAACTAAAAGAAGAAGCAGAGAAAGAAGTTTCACCTCCTTCTCCTCAGAAATCTCAGATTCAAAGAGTTTAATCGGCTGATTCAGAGACACTTTGACTAAAGAAACGTATGAATACTGATGTAAACATTCACTAGTCTCTGTTCAGAAGTGTGACATGTTTGTTTTTTATCTTTGATATCAGATGAATGTGTAAAGAAAAGGATGAGGAGACAGAAACATCAACATGAGGGTTTATAAATGAGATAGATGGTTAAATATGATGAATATGTGTCACATAGTAAAATGTAAACGACTGTGAAGACGCCCGAGTTCAGTGGAAATGATTTCATGATGACATTTAGCTACACAAAGATAAACAGTGAGATTATTATGATCAGAAACTGACATTAGATTATCACACAAACTGAACTTTATTTTTCTGCATGTAAACAAACTGATTCATCCTCGTGTTTCTGTCTCAGGTGGAGTGGTGGTGAAAGAAGACAGTGATGCTGTGTTACCGTGTTCCCTCAGCACCAAGGAGAACATCGAGACGAAGCTGTTTGACTGGAAGAAAGACGATCACAAGGAGGTGTTCATGTACGACGGAGGAGATTATTACGCTCACGGCCTTTCAGGTCAAGACAAACAGTTTGAAGGTCGAGTCTCACATTTTAACGACGAGCTGAAGAACGGTAACGCCTCCATAAAGATCAGGAAGACCAAGGTGGCCGACAGTGGAAACTACACCTGTTTTTTTCCTCGTCTGCAGCCGAGTCAAATGTTCCACATTGAGCTGGTTGTTGGTGAGTTTTCTGGTTCAGTCAGACGTGTTTGAAGAGTCCCAGGTGGATTTCAAATAAACATCTGGCAGGTGTTCATCCCCACAGAGCTGCAGCCACATCTGGAGAGACACAGTTTGTATCAGACATGAAACACGTGATCCATAATGTCACTCTGCACAGCCACAGTTCAGCTCTACACACATTATAAAGGCAGCACATTTACATTCTTCCTCCAGGGTGAAGTTGATCATCTGTCCCTCTAACATCTCATGTCTTTTACCTTCCAGGTGCTATCTTAAAGGACAGAACACCTGAAAAAATCCAAGGTGAGTCCAGATCCTGCTGACAGGTCTAAGTGTGTTCAAGAAGCTGAGAACCAGAGAGCAGTGTACTCATTGTGTTTGTAATGTTGTTTAAAGAATAACTGTAGAGTGATGATGTTTCAAAGCTTTAGCTTTATTTAGATTTGATAGAATGATTCTGAAATATAAACTCTGATATACCATCTTAACAACTACAGGGACTACAAATACTCATTTCCTCTACTTTGGACTTCCACTTCTTAAATCACTCCTGCATGTGTTAATACATCCTACCTGCCAGTCATACAGGTGACTGGTCTCCATGGAAACCAGTTCACTTTAAATCTCTGTCCTTAAAGGCTCAATGAACTTACAAACATGAAATATACTCAAATAAATCTGCTGTTTATGATCAGCTGTTTTCTACCAAAAGGTCAATTTGCTGCTTTCCTGACTAAATCTGTTTTTTTACACCTATTCCTTCTTTAAATCTCAAGCAGGCTTACCTAGGTCCATTCTTTCATTACAAAGTATAATGCTCCATAAAAGTGATTATCAACTGGCGCCCCGAGGGCCACATACGGTCCCCCAAAGCTTCTCATGTGGCCCCCAGAATATAAAGGATCTCTGGGGAATAAACCATGAACATACAAATAAAATCACAAGGCTGAGATACTCACATGATGTTAATGGGAGACATTACATTTCCCCTCTGACTCCAACTTCTTCACATCAGGCTTGAAAGCTGTGTGCAAGCATATTTTAAATTCCTGTCCCCTCAGTGTCTGTCATGACAAAAGCTGGCCAATGACGACCCCTGATCTGTACTTTGTGTTCACAGGCGCTGCTTCCAAGCCTTCAGTCACCACACTTAATGAATCAAAGGACTGGTCTCTGCTTCAGTGTGAAGTTTATGGAGCTTCTCCTCGACCTAAAGTGGAGTGGAGGGACAGTTCTGGAAACATCCTTCATGCTAAAGAAGCACAGGTCACAGAAAGAGGAGGCAGCTACGACATCATCCTCCAAACCACTGTGACCAAGACCGACCACTACAGCTGTGTGGTCACACAGGACCAGATCAAACACCACACTGAGGCAGAGACCTACGTTCACATCAACGGTGAGATGTTTCTTGTTCTACTTTCTGTTTTTCTGTGCGTTCATTCTTTGTTTTAAATGTAAATGAGTTCTGACTGAATGTGAAACGTGTTTGGATACTTCACAAGTGAAACTTTATTCAAAGTGAGTTTAAGAAATTCAGACTTTCTGTGACTCTCTGAACGGACTAACTTGATGACTGGACAGAGAGAAGAAGAAGAGTGTGAAGGTTGACTTTGAGATCAGTTCCAGACGTACAGAGTCAGTGTTTCTCTTGTTGTAGCTCAGTGATGTCAGTGTGGACGTGTTTGTGATAACAGTGAAATGTTCAGGATTAGAAAACAGCTTCATGTTGAGTTCACACATTTCAGGAGCAGGCTCGTCAGTTATCATTTCATATTAACAGTTATGTTTATCCCCAAATATTACAAACACTTTACGTTCTATCCATTCAGATCCTCAGAGTTACGTTTGCTCTGTGGAACATTTATTACAAGACATTTTGAAAACAGGAAAAATGAACAGTGAGAAGTTTTGTGCTTTTTAAACAATGAAAATGTCTTTATTTACTTGGCATCATGTAGACCTTAAAAAAACAAGAACTCATCAGTCCTTCATCAGGAAGTCAAACAGAGATAAAGTTGTACTAGGTGGAGCAGATGTTTACATTTATACATAATATGATGAAAATGTAAATATTGACCACAAACAGGAAACACAACAAAAACAAATCAAAACAACGTTTACAGGAGATTCAAACCCAACTCTTACAGTAAGCCGGCCGTGCACCGGACGATTTCAGGACGACTTAGACCTGACTTTTGAGTCGTACGACTGATTTGAAGTCAGGCCGCATTTCAGCCCGATAGCACGCCGTTAGTGGAGCAGTGTACACTGAGGCGTGATGGTCACGGCCCGATCAGCTGCTCCCTGCTGCTCGGATCATTTGTTCATGTGTGATTGTTTTGGTCGTACGACTGCACACACTTTGCACGGTGAGCGCAGAGCCACCAGCTGATTCTCCCACTTCAGGGACTTCTTTCCTGATTGTTCACAAACTGACAGACAGCGTCTAAAATCACCATGGCAACAGCAGGCATGACTGTTTAATCTGTCTCCACACTCCGATCATGAAAGAACCATCAGCAGGAAACATCTGCAGAGCTCCAGCTGACGGGGAGAATCAGTTCTGATTGAGCTGTCAGTCACTTTGTGTTTATTTGGGATGCTGTGAGAGAGAGAGAGAACGTTTTTCCTGGTGTGTATTAGAGCCGACTGAAATACACATCGATCAGACTTCAACCTCCGTCTGTGGGACTTTTTCTTATTGACACTTGTGATGCTGAACACTGTACAGTATGAGCTCATGAATTCTTTTAGTCGTTCAGTGTTCACTGGACTTTACATTAAAACTCAACAATCTTTGACAAAAAGACAGAAAAATGAACGTCCTCGTTTAGACCGGGTGTTCAGTAGTCTGAAAGTTATGGATCCAAAACGCCTCCTGCTGGTTCTTCTTCTTTTCTACCTCTTGTTGCACCTCTAACCAACACGTCTGCTCCCTCCTGTGTAGCTTTAGATGTTTGCCAAACTTTTCCCTATGAGTAAAAAAACATTTCAATTAATTTCTGCATCACTAAATTAAAATCTTTTAAAAACACAAACTCTCTGTGGCTGAAGATAGAAAAATGCTGCACAGAAACTAAGTGTGTGAAAATATAAGAAGTCCAAAAGTCCAGATATTTTGTAGATTTATTAAAACAAAAGGGAAAACAGTATTTGTAAAGAAAAGGTCCAAAAATGATGATTTAGGTGATGATGACGATGACTCACTCACCCCCTTTGTCTAGCCTCCCGCCACCCAAAAATGCACAGGTAAAAATAAAGTAAACCACGCCCACTGCTAATTACCAGAAATAATAAGAAACCCATATAAGGAGCAAAACATAACAAATAATCAACTGAGGTAAAAACACACATTATGGCTCCTACACTCCATCTTACCCACAGTTCACCCTGAACTACCGTACCATTAAAAAAAGTGGAATTCTGCATCTCTACATTAAAAGTGTTCACAACACAAAGACGAGTTCTTAAAGACGTTTGAGCTTGTTGTTGAAATGATCACCTCACACTAACCACCAGGTTTAACTGAGCAGCTGATGGAACAAACTGAAGAAACTATTTAGTTCAGAAAACAAAAGAAATGACCAGAGCGAAGAGGAGGTCAGAAATAATTCAAAAAGAATCTAAATGAAGTGAGGAAGATTATTTACTGAATAGTTTATGACTAAAAATACATTCAGGTGTTAATTCTAACTCTTCATGATGTGTTTCTGTGTGTAGGTCATCATATCTGGTCTCTGTGTGAACATCATGAACTCTTTTTATCTTCAAACTAAAACATTCCTGCAGACATGAATCTAAAAGAGCAAAACTAAACAACACCTGCTGCTCCTTCACACAGGATCAGGAGCTCACTTTAATGTTTCACACCTTCAACTCAAACTTATTTACTTGACAGTTTTTACTGCAGCTGGTCCTGCTGGATTCATCTCCATGGTTACCGTGTTGCTGCTCTCTGATTGGACGCTGCTGCAGATGTTACCTGCTCACCAAAGAGCTCCTGACTGAGAGCTGCACTCAGACGTGACTTCAGACTGAATCAGTGCTCTGAAACGAGTCAGTCGTTAGTTATGATGGAGGAAAGATTTCACACACAAACTCACACACACATTCAGAAACACACACACACACACATTCAGAAACACACACACACACATTCAGAAACACACACACACATTTGTAAGGAGCGGCGTGCCGTCACAGGAATCGGAGACGTTTCAGTGAGTGAGAAGAGACGACGTGTTAATAATGTGAAACATGTCCGAGCTGAATCTACTGAGGCCGACATGATCATTAAAACAGAGTATAACTAGGAGCCTCCTTTAGCTCCAAACACATGCACTGATCGTCCCTTTAATCATTTGATCCATGGAGGTCACTAAAGGCCTTAAAGGGACAGTACACAGTTTGACCGTGTGCTCGTTTGACCTTCTTATGACCACACGGCGTGTTACCTGCAGGAGATGAAAACATACTGGAGCAGCTTCACTAAAAGTCCCACCTTCAAGAAAAACACAGAAACCTGAGTGTCCGCTGTGTTTGTCAATATTTACACCTCTCCATCAGACCGCCTTTTCCTCGGGGACTACTTTCTTTAAAAGCGCACAGCGTCCGTGTTCCTCCACGTGCAGCTCGCCGTATCAGATCAGCGTCACAGAAGAGACGAGGAACACGATGGAACACGATTCAACACGACAGGAAAGACATCAACTCTACCTCCAGCGACTTTCTAAAGTTCAGTTTGTGTCCACTTTGTTTGAAATGTGTCGATGTGATCGTATGTTTGTGACTGAGGTCAGAGCTCCAGGTGATGTCACACCTGATGATGTCATACTGAGGCTGCTGGGTAAAGAGGATTAACTCATCCATTCAGACACATTCACACGCCGCCGACGAAGCAGAGGGAGCAACTTGAGGTTAAGCGTCTCGCCCGAGGACACATGGGACATGTGGCTGCAGGAGCTGGGGATCGAACCCCCGACCTTCCAGTTGAGAGACGACCGACTCGCCCACTGACCCACAGCCGCCCCCGATGTAGACATATAACTAACATTAGAAATAAGAGTAAATGATATTAGTAGTATTCAGATGTTTTTATATCAATAGCAGCAGAAAAACCAACAAGAATCACATCACATATGTTCCACTTTAGAGCCGTATGAGATGAAAAGAGCGCTTACATCTCCATGGACGCTCACACATTCTCACTGTCCAATCATGAAGGGCTACATGACCTTTAACCTCAACTTAGAGACGGCTCACTCGTCGTCCTGAACGGCTTCTGATCAACGGAGACACAACCCACGTCTGCTGGGAGGGAGTGATTGACAGCTGTTTTGGCCTACAGCCATTCCCAGGAGGCGGGACTTAGCATGTGACAGGCTGAGATAAACTAAGGCGTGTACAGTAGAGGAATATAAAAGAAGAGAAGTGGAGATACATGAAGGGATGTGAAATCTTCTTTCCATGAACCTTTGTTTCCTCCGTGTCCACAGGAGCAGCTTCAGAGCCGCACGTCACCAACCTTCATCAAAAGATGAATAGTTTGTATATAAATGTAACAAGATACAGATTTGTGGATTTCTATTACATATATATAAAACAATAAATATTTGTGTGTGCACTGATCTAACTCTATAATCTAAGAGACCGTTAAGCAGTTAAATGTGATGTAAACAGTTCTGGGAGGTGTGAGTATAACTTGTGTTGTTATGTTTGTACTGCTGTGATTGGTGTTCACTGACTGTTTACTCTGTTTTCAGGAGCAGCTTCAGAGCCGATTATTGAAAGACTCGAGGAAACTGAAGACTGGGCGTTGCTGCAGTGTTTAGTCAGAGGAGCTTCTCCTCGACCTAAAGTGGAGTGGAGGGACAGTTCTGGAAACATCCTTCATGCTAAAGAAGCACAGGTCACAGAAAGAGGAGGCAGCTACGACATCATCCTCCAAACCACTGTGACCAAGACCGACCACTACAGCTGTGTGGTCACACAGGACCAGATCAAACACCACACTGAGGCAGAGACCTACGTTCACATCAACGGTGAGATCTTTTCATAGTTTCAACTCTAAAGCTGATCTGATGAGACAGGAGGAAGTTTATTCAGAATGTTTCAGAGTTTTAATCCCACGTTTCCTGAGACTCCTCGCTCTAAATATCCTGAATCTACATTTAAGGCTTCAAACAGAAACTGAAGGTTGTGTTTAAAGGTCACATATTCTCCTCCTAATAAAGATGAACTACAGAGTAACGTTAGTTTGTCCTGATGATGATGAACGGCAGGAGACCACCAGTCTGAAAAGATGTTTCATTATTTATTCATAATTCAGCATTTTATATTTATGTGAGGGCTGTCCAACCAGCAACATTTTGAATCTCCATTAATCGCTACATTTCAAAAGTTAGTGGTGATTAAAGACATTTTGAATCCCGTGTGTAACCCTAACTCTAACCCTATGCAGTAACATGTTCAACCTGTAATATCATGTATGTGGGAGAAACAAACAAGCAGCTGAAATACAGATTGAGACCACAAATCTACCAAAGAAACAAAGGCAAAGAAAATCCGGCCGTTTACATGCACTTCAGAAGACGTGGAGCAGACCATCTGAAAACAGAAGGCATCAAAAGCAACACAAACTGGTCCAGAAGTCAACGCCTCAGAATGGAAACCACGTTCATCAAATGATTGAAAAGAAAGAAACCAAACGGCCCAAATGAAAAACTTTGATTCAGGCCGCCATCTCCTGCTCAGAAGACGGAAGGACAGTTGTTTGGTTTCTCTGCTTTTAACTGCAGCCAACAAGGAAAACGGGGAAATACCGCCACCTGCTGGTGCACCAACAACAACACGGTTTCCCCCTACCTGCTTTTATCCACGGTGCAATGCTGCCACCTGGTGTCCAAAAGGTGGAAGGACAGTGAGAGGGATTGTTTCACATCTATGGAGTTTTAGATCAAACAAAAACTAGTTTGAAATGTTTTCATCTTGTTTTAATGAATGGATGACTTTGTGCATGTTGTTTTGTGTGTCTTTTACTTTCCTTTATTTATTGACAGCATGATCTTAGCACTTTATTTAAAGCTTGATCAGGACACACAGAGTATTGCGTCTATATCGGCCTTTGCAGGTCGTCAAAGAAAAGAGTGCAGCGAGGGACTAAAGACGGGAGTGAAGCTGTGACGTCGTTATGAATGACTTCCAGATCCAAGATGCTTTAGTCATTTATTCTACAAAACACAAGAAACTACAACTGCAGTTACCGGGTGGTAAAATCAACTTGTGATGGCAGTGCAGTGTAGTGTGGCGCTCAACAGAAATGTTCTGCTCCCACGCTCAGCCCCTCTCTCCATCTGAGACTAAACCAGGTGAACAGGTGAGTGCGGCTCATATAATCACTGACATCACCACGACATGTCCCACCTGTAACAAGAAGTAAACAATAAACAAAGCAGTAAACAAACCATGAAACCAAACACACCATCAACTTCCATTCATGGCTCCGACACAGAGGATCCAGAAAGCCTCCAGCCTCCACAACAACTCCATCGTCACGCTCCAGGAGAAACCTCACAGCACAGGATACAACAGCATCAGCGTCTGTAACGTATCCACCTCCCACTCACCTGTATATATCAGAGTCAGCAAACCAGCTCCACCAATCAGGACGTTTGTCACCACAGGGAGGACACATAGAGCACTTGTTTTATTGATTTATTACTACCCCATGAACACTTTGAACACTAAGCTGCATGTGATTTAACGCTGTCCTCTTTTACCGTGTGAACTTTGATGATTTAACGACATTCATGAATTCATTTATTTCTTGTTGTACTCACCTGTTAGAGAAACTTACCTGCATCATTTCATTCTTTTCTTTGCTCTCACAGGGGAGGAGGGTCAGGGTCTCCACCTCACCTGTACACAAAGAAACAACAACTTCCCACTTACCTGAACCCTAATCCTAACCATCCATCTCCACATCGTCCTCTTCCCTGCTTTTTATTCTTAAGCTCACCCACAATCCTAAAGCTAACCGTGAACCCAGCAGCCTCCCTAAACCTGACCGCTTCCTTCTCTTCAACACAACCAAATGAATCTGTTTACTTTGAATCTACCATGACATCTTTTAATGTTCTTCTCTTTTACACTTTTAGCTCTTTTTAGGCTTTTATGATCTGCTTTCTCTCCCGCCTACTTAGAGGGGATTTCAAGAGGAGGACCCCCTCCTACCAATTAAAGAAATACTGACCAGGGCCTGTGCCATCTTTGGACCACAAGCTGCTCAGACCTAAGTCCCTTAACCTATATACAAATTTATTTTGAAGGTTTGCACAGTCTTAAGCTGAGAGTGCTTTCCTTGCTGTGTGCTTTTATTTTGAAATACAGTAAGGAGCTTCCTGTAGAGTGAAGATAAGGACATGAAGTTAAGCACAGAAACAGGAAGTGGTTAGAGATCCCAAACTGAGGTCAAACAGCTCAAAGGAACGGTAACAAAGGTCAATGTGTGATGTCATGAGGTCAATGTGTGATGTCATGAGGTCAGTGTGTGATGTCATCAGGTGATGTCATCAGGTCAATGTGTGATGTCATCAGGTGGATATTACTGTGTGAGAGTTTGTTAAAGTGAAATGAGACGTTCAAAGATGCAGCAGTGTTCTTCTTGTCCATCAGTGAGACTACAGGGAGACACTGAGGACCACTATCTACGGAGAGCCTGAAGGGACAAACAGGAGATTAATGTGATTAACTGGTTAACGCTGACAGCTCGTATTTATTTGTTTTATTTCATTACTTTGTGAAAATACGCTCAGTATAATATTTGTTATCACTGATTTTCACGACGTTGTTTGACAGCAATGATGTCATCATCGGGGGCGGAGTCATGTCTTAAATGTTTTATTATCCTGCTGAATGAGAGCAACTTTATTTAAGGTTTATTTTTGTGCTTTTATTGTGAAGGACAGAGGATAGAGTCAGAGAGAGAGGGAATGACGTGCAGGAAAGGAGCCTCAGCTCGGATTTGAACCCGGGCCGCCCGCTTGGAGGGCACACACACACACACAGAGACACACACACACACACACACACACACACACACACACACACACACACACACACACACACACACACACACACACACACACACGGAGAGAGACACACACACACACACACACACACACACACACGGAGAGAGAGACACACACACACACACACACACGGAGAGAGACACACACACACACACACACACACACACACACACACACACGGAGAGAGAGACACACACACACACACACACACACACACACCTGCTGTTCTCTGTGTGTCCAATGTGACGTCCAGTCTGATCTGAGTGTGATATGAAACTACACTCTGAGTGATACACAAACTTTTTGTTTCAGTTTCAGGTTTCTCTGCTGGATATGTCGTTACTGCTGTCGTTGCTGCTGTCGTTGTGGCAGTTGTTATCACTCTTATCGTTGTTGCTGCTCTGCTTTACATCAAACATCGCTTAACACAAAATTCCAACAAAGGTAAGTTTACAAAATGTTTTTAAACATTTTCATGACGAGGAGACGACTCAAAGTCTACCTGTGTGTCTCTCTTTAAGAGTCTTGTCAGTATCTCCTCAGTCTTCAGTCTGTTTTTCACTCTCTCAGTCAGATCAGTCAGTCGTGATTTTCTTGAACATCATTTAGTTTTTTCTTCCTGCAGACGAGGAGAAAGGTGAACCCATAAAAGACCGCACTGAATCCGACCTTCTAGCTGAATGAAGTCAGGTAGACTCACGTCGTGTTCCTTCAAACCTCTGACTCTGGAACTCCAAAGTTATTGAAGCTAATCTGCCTTAATCCCAACATGAAGATGATTTCATCTGTTTGACCATCATGATGTCATACTTGAAAACAGCTGAGTGAGGGATCAAATCCAACCAGGTGTTTGTTCTCACATTTTAATGAACGCCGTGGAGATCGGGCTTTTTCCAATCAGAGCCCGTCGACTTTGGAACGACCTGAGGAGCATGTTCATGACACATCCTTACACCTCTAACGTTTACTCTGCTTTAAATACACTGCAGCTTTAATGCATGATCATTTCATTAATATCATCTGTGAATGGAATCCAGGGTTTAAAACATAAAGGTCTCCCTGTGAACATCCCAGAGAGCCTCTGACTGAGGATTTAAAGAAACACTTTGAAAAACAGGATTGATGTGAGAAAGTGTGAAATAGAAGTCCCTGTTTGTGTTTGCTCTCCTGTTGATCCAGTGTGTGAATGAAGAAATGAGAGCAAAGGCGCTTTACGACTGACGGAGAATCAAAGCCTCAGTACTTCACTGAACTACAGCTGCTGTTTGACTGTAAATACATGAGATTCTGTTGCTGCTACACTGAGATATAATGAGACTTTAAGATGTGGGACGAGGATGTATCTCTTGTTTAGACTTTATAAAGCCGAGTGTGTCAGGTAGAGACAAACACAGAGCTGAAGTATGCTCCTAAACGTTTCTTTATGCTGCTGATGAATGACGCTCTGATGGTTACAACGTGATATCAGGCTGTGCTTCATCATTCACATCCACCTGCTGGAATAAAACATGATCAATGTTACACTGTGTGTTGGGACTGCTTCTTATGGAGCAGGATTTTTAGGATCAATTAGTGAGTTCACATCATGACTTTGTTGTTTTAGTATTTTTTAATATCAGGATTCATCGTTTTATGTCTGGTTTGAATTTTTAAATTCTAAATTCAGACTTCAGATCTGTTTCCACATGTGGCACTTCTCCCCCTGTAAGTGTTTGATGTCTGAAGAGAAGAAATCAAGAATATTTATATGAAATAAAAACAGTATAAACTGTAAACATGATGAGATAAACATCAATCTAAGTCAGGGATGTCAGACAGATGTCCCGCGGGCCGTATCCGGCCCGATAGCAGGTTTCATTTGGCCCGCGAGACGTTTTGGGAAGAAGGAGGAAATGTATTGAAAAATATTTTGAGATTTTTTATAAATTTATATCTGTGATACGTATTTTCCCCGAATTGTATGAAAACGTATTTAAAATGAGCAACGTAAAGGTTAATATGATAGGAATATTAATTTGAACTATCTTCTCAGCAGGGAGCATCACGAGCTGCTCCTGCATTACACTGGTAATACATCACATCAGAAAACAGGCTGAACACCTGAGAGAGGTGACACAGAATGCAGGTTTTCAAGAGAGATCGAAGGAGCGATATTTCTTTAGTTTTATTTGCTCACAAGTTGCCAGAAGTTTATCAAAGCTACGTGACTTAACGACAGGAGGCGCTGCACTGCGTGCATCATGACGGTCTTCAGTTCTTCACACTTCTTACCAGTTTCTCCTGTCTTGACTGATGGAAAACAAAAGTTTTACTAATGATAACAAAGCTTCCTATGGAGTGAGCCACAAAGAGCAGCTCGTGCAAATAAAAAAACAATCCTCTCTGTCCTGCGTAACGGCCCAGACCGTTCCTCACATCCAGTGTAGTTTGTGGACACCGGCGTGAGCCTGATGATAGACTTATTTTACCTCTGCTTATTGTAAAAACAGTAAATTAAAATGAATATTAACTGATTTTATTTACAGATGGTTCATTTTTAGTCACCCAGAGGTGAACTTGTTGGATCACCTCAAAGTTTCAGTGTGACATCACTTCTAAATGCAGTAGCCTGCTGTTGTGCCTTTATCACCAGCTTTAATCAGACTGTAAAAATATAAACTATTACTGAACATTTCATTCTTATCTGAAAACAATATCACACACAGGCTGTCCGATCATACAGAGGTCCGCTGGTTTAACTGTGGAGCAGCACTAAAATGCTTCCTTGAAATTGGCACGGAGATGGCACAGATTCACGGTGCATAAAAAGTCAGTGACAGAGTTAGATCACGATATTGCGGACACGTAGAAGAACAGACTGCCAGACTCATATCAAAAGTGGTTTAACTGAGTTTACTAGTTAAAGAAGTTGAACTCCACACGGAGCTGATCAGACTGCAGTGATCAACGCTGAAGGAGAAATTCAAGTCTGTTGGTTTGGAAACATTTGATGCCTGACAGTGAAATACCTGAAGATGACTGTTTACATCAAAGACACTCTGTGTGTTTGTGACAACATATTCATGTGAGCAGGTTTAATCTGTGATGACCTTAACGAGTGACAACTGTGCTGTGGCCTGACACACACACATCTAAAGTCTCTCTCTCTCTCTCTCTCTCTCTCTCTCCTCTCTCTCTCTCTCTGTCTCTCTCTCTCTCTCTCTCTCTCTCTCTCTGTCTCTCTCTCTCTCTCTCTCTCTCGTCTCTCTGTCTCTCTCCTCTCTCTCCTTCTGTCTCTCTCTCTCTCTCTCTCTCTCTCTCTCTCTCTCTCTGTCTCTCTGTCTCTCTCTCTCTCTCTCTGTCTCTCTCTCTCTCTCTCTCTCTCTGTCTCTCTCTCTCTCTCTCTCTCTCTCTCTGCTTCTCTCTCCTCTTCTCGTCTCTTCTCTCTCTCTCTCCTCACTCTCTCTCTCACTCTCTCTCTCTCTCTCTCTCACTCTCTCTCTCTCTCTCTCTGTCTCTCTCTGTCTCTCTGTCCTCTGTCTCTCTCTCTCTCTCTCTCTCACTCTCTCTCTCACTCTCTCCTCTCTCTCTCTCTCTCTCACTCTCTTCTCTCTTCTCTCTCTCACTCTCCCTCTCTCGTCTCTGTCTCTCTCTCTCTCTCTCTCTCTCTGTCTCTCTGTCTCTCTGCTCTCTCTCTCTCTCTCCCTCTCTCTCTCTCCTCTCTCTGTCTCTCTCTCTCTCTCTCTCTCTCTCAGGAAAAGGGTAGCACAACAAAGTATGTTTTGATGTTGTCTTACATTTTGTTTTTATTCTAAATGATATGATATGTGACCAGTACTTAGAAAAACCCATGTCCGGGAGCAGATCTCGTCACACTATAATACTTTAAAAAGTCCAAAAAGTAATATAAAATTTAACTTTATCATTATTAGGTGTAAATAGTATAGTATTTATTACACAAGCATTAAAAAAAACAATTTTGAATTTTCTTTAATGTACTTTCTGGTCCAATGAACATGTGTCCGGAGTTTTTGTCAACACCGTCAGACTTTTTTTAAATTGGGAAAAAAATCAGGATAATTTAGGGCAGCTATATCTCAAAGGACCCCTTTCCCTCCTCCCTGGTCTTCCTTATGCCATGAGAAAATTTTAGCTCTGGTAAGTCTTTAATAATACTTTGTATTTCATATCTATTTACTAATGTGCATGTGTCACAACCATAGCGTATCAACTCCAAAATGACTAAAAGTCAACATCTGTGTAAAGTTTTCTGCAATATAGCCTTAATTTATATAGATTCACTGGGTCATGACCAACAGATGTTAAAAACAAGATGGCTCCTGTGAGAATCATGTGTGATATATGGAGAAATGTGCTATTTTGTCAACACCATCAGACGTCAACACCATCAAAATGTTTGTCTGATGGTGTTGACGCAGTCTCTGATGGTGTTGACTAATGCCATTTTAGTGTCCAATTTAAGCATTTTAATGTAGTTAAAACCAATAATATCACCTATGCATTTTATTGCTATTGTAGTTTCATGTGTCAAATTCAAACTAGTTTTGATGTACAGCAGCCTACTTGAATGTGTTTAACTGAATTTCATTGAAGTTGTCTCTCAACCTGATATGTAATAAAGTGTTGCATGTGTTTCCATAATAAAGAACTGATTGCAGAATGGTATGCATTTCAGGCTAGAATGGCTAGACAGAAGTTGTCAGTGGAGGAGCAAAAGAGAAGAAACAGAGAGTATCAAAAGAGAAGGAGAGAAAAACTTAATAGCCAGCCTGAGCTGAAGGAGGAGTTCCTGACAAAGGAGAGGGAAAGATGGAGAAACAGGGTTGATAAGGGCAAAATTAAAAGATCAATGATTTGGAAAAGAGAGCAAAGAGGCAAAGAGAAAGTATTGGAAACAGGCACAGAAAGAATCAAGAGAACGAAAGAAAAGAGCAGAGGAAAGGCAGCAAGATTTAGATACTCCAGAGAGTCCTTTAGACATCAGCGTTGAGGAGCAGACGAGCAACAGGCAACTGTATGCTGGTTTGAGGGAGAGAGCTAAAACCAGAAAAAGACATTCCAGAGAGATTAAAGCATTGACAGACAAACATGATAAATTGGCAAAAGAAGCTGACAAGCTGAGAAAACGACTTAAACGCATAAAGCACACTCAGGAAGGCACAACTCATAAGAATGCTCAAGACTCGCCTCGGACCCAGACTGAAAAGATGATTGAAGGGAGCAGACTCAGAAATCCTTGAATAAAAAGGTCATTGCTCTTCCACCATGCAATGACTGCAGAGCTGAGAAGAAATGCTCCTCAAAAAGAAGCAAGCTTGCATCACAGCATCCACAGCTGGCGTTGTCTGGCAGAATTCTCAAGAAATATCGACTGATGCACCGGGTTCATGAATTTGGCTTGACATATAAAACACTGAGAGAAAAGTTACTGAACCAAAGGAAGCCTTCATTCCTTAAGACTATCTCCCATAATGTCCAAACGTTTTTGGAAAACAATGCAAGGATAACTACAGACAAACAAGACACCATCACTAGGAAGAAAGTAAAACATCAAAGGATGATTCTGACCGACACAATGCTAAACCTTCACACTGCATTTCTCCACCAGAACCAAGATGTAAGGCTTAGTTATTCATCTTTCTGTGCATTGCGCCCATTTTACATCACACCCCAAGAGCCTCTGATCGAAAGACATGTCGATGTCAGTACCATGAGAATGCAAAGTTGATGCTTGAGGTCTTGAAGTCCCACAATGTTGTGTCAACTACCAAACTTGAAGAGAGTTTCCATCTTGTGTGTTGTTCTCCAGCAAGTGAATCATGTCTTTTACGCACCTGCTCTCGATTCCAAAACAAATATACAGGTCTTTGTGCAGAGCTAGGGAAAACACAAGTGGAATGGGAGCAGTGGAAGCGCATTGAGGAGCAAACAGAAGCTGGAGTTCACTTCAACACGAAACTGGTGAAACACACTGGTACTCTATCAGAGCTTATGATTCTCTACCAAGACAAACTAAAAAATGAGACGACCACCCATGTCCACTTGGTGAAAAACCAAACCAAAGAGTACAGGAACATGATAACTAACTGTGATGATACCACCGTTATTGTGCATGTGGACTTCTCTGAGGCCTGGAAATGTAAATACCTCAGAAATACAAGCCTGTCACTGGTCAAAACCTTCCACAGATCACACTTCATACGGGCATGTTCCACACCAAGCATGAAAAGGCAGGATTCTGCACCATCTCTCAGTCCAAGCGCCAGGATGCTGCAGCCATTTGGACACATATGCATCAAATCCTGACAGATATTCATGCAAGATTTCCAAATGTTGAGACAGTACACGTTTGGTCAGATGGTCCAAGCAAACAGTATAAAAACAAAAAGAACTTTCTCCTCCTCTGTGCTGTCCCTCCCCGGCTTGGATTCAAGAATGCAACTTGGAATTTTTTTCCAACGTCACATGGCAAGGGTGCCCCTGATGGCATTGGGGCAACAGTGAAGAGATGTGCTGACAGT